CAACGGCTCTAATAATCCCTTTTCTAGTTTTTATTTTTATATCAATTATGCAGAATTAACTCAAAAAAGACTTTCTAAGGCTAGGTAAACCGTACTTTAATTCTAAACCATTGCTATTGAAATTTAAGTTTCCTCCAAGATATTCATGAATGTTCTTAGGATAGCATTTAGTTTTTGAATATGTTTATATTATTATATAAAAAATATATGCGGCAACCTTTTTCTTCAGCACCATTCCTTTGAAGCTGGTATGTTGATTTTGATATATCATTATCAATAATTAATGCTAAAATTCATTACGTAAATAAATTTTGGCTGCTTTAATTTGTATTTTTTCTAAAATTTCTTTTCTTTTTTTTTTTTTGCAGTCCCTTACTTAAACTTAGTATTTAGTTTTTTATTATATGAAGTAATTTAGAACTAGATTAACTGTTAATAACATCGTTAAACTTTTAATTTTTTTTTGTCATATTGCAAGCTTTTTCAAAAGAGCAACATGGTCTTTTAGCTTCATTAACTGATGATGTAGCATTTAATGTACTGTAGGTATACCGAAAATCTTGAGCTAATCAATTTTAATTATTTCTCTCAAAATGAGCATTATTGTTGTTTTGAGCTGCCCACTTTTTATGATATATTTTTATAAATTTTTTCTCAGAATCTTCTAATTTATTATCTACAGAAACTAGAAAATTCAATACTGATAAAAAGAATGATATATTATTAGGAATAAGTTTTGTTTCCTATTTATTAGGATCGATTACTTTTCATTTTGTTTTTCTTTGTAAAAAAAATTATGCATCTTTTTGAAATGATTCCAAGAAGAATTCATTATTTCGTCTTGAACCATTTTGAAAAATTAACCTTAAAGTTTTGTGGTACGTTAACGTACTGCTGAAAATAATAGATAGTTTTTTTTTTTTTAAAAATTTTATTTTTTAAATAAATAAATTATATACATTAAAAATTCTATTTAATAAATTTAAACCTTGGGTAACATTTCAAACTTGAAATCGCATTTTTTTTTTTTTATCTTTACTTTTACAAAATATTTTTATTGCTTGCAACTACAAAATTTTCATCTCCGATACACTCGGCATCCTTGTGTGGGGCACGGTCTTTCTACCCCGAAAAACTAGTAACCTTAACAACACACAAAAAATAAAAATATTTTGACAATTAAATGTTTTTTATATCGTGACTTACAACTCCAATCGTATTAGCATTAATTGTACTTTAAATACCATTTCAGTCGTATTATATAATTGAGCGACCACCAACCATCATTATTATCTTCGTTACTTTACGCTAATATAAGTAAGAGATTAACAAATTAAAAATTGAAAGAGATTACACTGTAAATGTAATATTTTATTTCAAGAATATTGGTAGTTGTAAATTAATAAAACTCCACATGAGTAAAATAAACTATGTACTATAAAGCATCACTCTTGACAAGTAATTTTAATTATTTGTGTTTTTAGTATAACTTAATTCATTTTTTTTAATGACTTTTGAATGAATTTTGACTAAATTTCTCGACTAAAAATTACCAAAAAGAAATGTTAGCACGAAAAATAACGCTAACTTTTTTATAAAATAACACGTCTTTTTAAATTCGGAAATGTAACAAAAAAGAAATCCAAACGAATAGTACGCTATTAGAATTCAGTCAAAATAATTTGCATAATTTATAACAGATATAACTAATTAATTGGTTTGGTTTAAAAATTGAAAAGAATGGTATATACATATATATATATATATATATATATATATTATATATATATATATATATATATATATATATATATATATATATATATATATATATATATATATATATATATATATATATATATATATACAAATTTTAAAACTTAAAAGTCAAACCACTTAAAGGTCATGTTTAGTTATATTTTTCTTAAGGTAAACTAGTATCTCTATATACATGTATCTAAACTCTACATCTGTAATTCAGAAGACAAAAGTCAGATGTCCAGATTTTTGTGAAAATGTGTTATGTATGAGTCCTTTTGAGTTTTTTCAGTATCTACACAGAGGTATAAAGACTGCTGTCCTACGACAATGTTAGGTCAATATAAAAGGTCTGGTGTTCCCACAATGTTCAAAGGAAAAAGGTCTGTTGTCCAGAAACGACTTTTATAATTTTTGTCAAAATTTTATTTCATGTGCCTGAAGACAAATCAAATGAAATACGAAAAAAATTACATAAATTTAACCATCAAGAATAAGCCAATAAAAACTAATTATTTTACTATTTTCTTTCTCCTGTATAATTTCTGAAATATGACATTCGACCTTTGACTTCTGAGGTACAGATATATATCTAAAGTCTAAAACTTTTATAAAAGTAGTAGTAGTACTGAAAAACTGAAAAGTACTTTTTCAGATATGGAAGATTTTATTAAAACTGCTAACACTCTTTTTACCTGTCTACAAAAAAAATAAATTCTTTTTTAGTTCAATTTTTATTATT